GGGGGGTGGGCGCAGTGCGGGCTTTGGGTGGTCTCAGTCGCCAGGGGTGGGGTGGTGGGGGATAACCCGGCCTCCGAGGAGCAGGTACAGGGGTCCTGGGTGGGATCCGGCTCCCCCAGGAGTGCCCGCGGTCTGGTTTTCATGCGGGAGGGGAGGGGGGGCTTCCCCCCTAGGCTGGCCCTTGGCCAGAGGCCGGCGTGGCTTGGGGAGGGCAGGCCTGGGGGTCTGTGCCTCGTGGGTGGCAGGGTGCTGGGCTGCGCCCTGCAGGGTGCTGGGCTGTGCCCTGCAGCGCGGGATCCCGCTCAGGGTCCCCGGGTGTGGTTCCCGACCGAGCGCTGCGGCCGTTCAGCCCCGGAGCGTGGGGCTGGAGCTTTTGCACACCAGAGAGCTCTGGGCAGGCTCCGTGGCAGAGGGAACGGTCCCCCGCGGCCACCTCTGCCCATCCCGCTTCCTCACCTTGTGAAACTACAGCTCCGTTCAGATTTGCCATCCCATAGTTCTGCTTTTCACGACAGCGGAACAAAAATCATTCGGTACGGCAGTCAGCCCGCGTGCTCTGGAAGTTGTCAGACCCGCTGATGGCGGGGTTTAATCGTCCCATCCTGTCACGTTGTGAGGCAGAGCAGTTGACCACAGAGACGCAGCTTGATTAAGGATTTATCGTTAGCGGCTCTCGGGGCATTTAGGGTGCTGAGCTAACGTGTTCCTGTTACAGCCTGTGACCTCGTTAGCGGGCTGGCGTCCACTTTGGGGGCTGCGGGCAGAGGTGGGGGGGATGTTGGACGCTGCTGAGAAATATAGGAGGGCGGGGGAGGGAGCGGGAAGCTTGTGTGTGCTTTGAAGAGAAAAAGCCTCAAGAAAATCTGTAGCTGGTCTGTGTTTTAACACACAGGAATCATCTGCTCAAGCTCTGCGTATTGGGAATTGCCCAATTACATACCAGAGTGTCGATGAAGTAAGAGCTTAAGCTTTAGAAGTTGTGAAAGAAATGAGTGCAGTTTTTGTGGGAAAGCGCTGGCTTTTGCAGCGTGAAGTGCTGCTCAGCTTTCGCAGCGTCCTGCCTTGGCTGAGTTGATTTATATTCTCTGGTTGATTTACATCGCTGTCAGAAGACAAACGCCTAAAACATTTGAGAACTTTACAATGAGGCAGAGAGGAGCCGAGGCTGATAATGCCCAGCACATCTGTGGCTGTTTCTGTATAAAATAACTGATGGTGACACGAAGTCGGGTGTCACGCAGCGGAGCTGCAGGTCTAACTGGTAACTCCTCGCTCGCAGGAAGAGATGTCGGGAGAAAGTGTGGTGAGCTCAGCAGTGCCGGCGGCTGCGACTCGCACGACCTCCTTCAAAGGGACGAGTCCGAGCTCCAAGTACGTCAAACTGAACATTGGTGGTGCCCTCTACTACACCACCATGCAGACCCTGACCAAGCAGGACACCATGCTCAAGGCCATGTTCAGTGGCCGAATGGAAGTCCTGACCGACAGCGAAGGTAAGGGGCTGCTCCCTCGCGCCGCTTCTTCAGTGAAAATAACTCGGAAGGAGCTGGAGAAAACTGTTAGGGAACAGAGAGGAACATCTAATTGCAGGCCCAGATATTTCTGTTAAAACTCATAGCTGACACAAGTGAGCAGAGGTGTGGAACAGAGAGCACGTGTGGCTGTCTGACCCAGAGAAAGGCAGTAGGAGGTCCTGAGGCTCCTGGCAGGCCCACATAGCCCAGGCTGTCTTTTTTCTTTTGAAATACTCACACTCTGAAGCATATGGAAAATGGTGGGGATGGTGATTAAGGAACTATGAGTCAGGACTTGCATATTTACTTTGAAGCTCAGAAGGCTGTTCCCTCATCTTGTTTCCTTACCTCAAATAAAAGTATAAAATATGCTCTCAACGTCGCAGGGGATTTATGAGCTAAAAGCTGATTTTTTTTTTTTAAATGAAACTGGTCTCTTGTGAGAGTATTGATGTTGGATTCGCTAAAACAGAACCAGTTGTACCGTTTTTAGAAAATTTGCCAGTGTATTACCGACAGAAAAAGGAGAGAGCTAGCGGGTGGGTCTCTCCACGTTGTGTCTGGAAGGAAAGAACGTGCACTATGTCAAACTACAGTTTTCTAAGGGAGCAGTACTCAAATCCTTACTGGATATGTTGATTTTATGAGATCCTATAAAAGATTTTTAAATTAATAATATAGCTAAAATGTGTTTGTGATAATTGCAACTGGTAGCAGAGTTTTATATCAGCATTCTCATGTTGTGGGAGTGTCACTGAGATTAACTGGAAGTGCAGCTTTTTATTTATGCGCTGACATTTTGCCCATCACTGTGTTTATGGCCTTGGATACCTTAACTTTAACTATAGGTACTGCATCACTGAGCCTGAGGGTTCAAAACACCTTTCTTGTGACTAGTTAATCACCTGAAATTTTTGTTGGAGCTTGTCGAAAGCATAGAAAATGTAGTATGAGGTCAGATGAATTGGACTGAGTTTCGAGTGCTTTAGAGCAGTCAGCGTTTAGAGGTCATGTGGAACAAGTGAGGGATTTAGTAGGGCTTTTGGGATAAGCTTTCTTGAGAGAGGAGTAAGTGGATTTGGAGGAAAAAAATGTAAAAAATACAACCTAATTATCTGACTATTCCTGTTTTAGCCAGGAGTCCTTATATTTAAGCTGGGGGGTAAAAAGCTGCATTGTTTGAGGTGTTACCCCGTGCCTTTTGCAAGTGTCAGCCCTCCCAACATTGGCACTGCGGGCTCCAGATCAAAGGGTCTCTGGGGTCTGCGCAAGCGGCGCAAGAAAGCCAGCCTGTGGGTCAGATTGAAAAAGAAAACCTGTCAGATGGGAATCAGCACCCTTACTGGGAAGACTGGAGGGGTGTTCCAGGGGAAAGGCTGTGAAGCTGTTCATGGAAGACCTCTCCCCAGACAGCTCCGGTGGTATCCTCCTACCCCTCCCTCCCGTGTTTCACAGAATTGGGTCATTTGAGACTTCCCAAGTCCTTCAGTTTGGAAACGGGTTGGAAATTCCAAATTAATTTTGGAAGGCCAGCCTGGCGTGGTCTCGCCTTCCCCAGGCCCTGAGCCCGCGCAGGTATGTTGTGCTGGAGAGCAGCTGCCAATATTACTGCTAACAGGAGGGTAACTGGCATTTAATCTGCTAAAATATCATGCTTGAGACGCAGAACCGCCGGTTTATTTTGCTGCGAATCCCGCAGTGTCTGTGGGATTGTTCCATTTAGCTGGTTTGCGTTTCAGTAGGAATTTGATACTTCCTGTAGGTTGTAACCGAGACACTCCCATCGCAGGAGTTCTTGCTTTATCTCCCCTTGCCCGGCGTGATGCTGGAAACCGGGACAATAGCATTATAGCTGTTCAAGGAAACTCTTTTTATCTGAAATTCTTCAAAATACTGCTGATTGCTCACACCCAAAATTTGGCACAAACCAAAATGTTCCTTAGGAAAAGAAGCCAGACTTGCAGAAAAACTGGAAAGAGTGAAGTTTTTAAACAGTCTGTGGAATGTGTCACGAGGGGTCCTCCTCTTTGTTTAGACGCATTCTTCTGACCCCAAGCACCATCTCCCCAGCTCTTTCTCGAAACTCAACAATTATCAGCACGCTGCCGGCTGGGCCGTAGGAGAAAGGACTGGAGTTCTCCGGCCGTGGGTGGCAGATGATTATTTTCCCTTTAGAAACTGTTCATGAACTGTAGCAAATCAGCATATTTGGAAATTTATATTTTTATGGTAATGAGCAGATAGAAGGATGTGAGTTTTCCAGGTGCATCCATCTGTTTCCAATTTTCTTCTCTGCAGTATGATATTTTTTTTTTCTTTTTTTTTTTTCCCCCCCTCCCCTCACTCCCCACTGCTGTTAACCAGCTGATCGAGATGTGTGGTTTTGTTCAGCTGCTAGAGAGACTGTTGAGCATCAGGCAGCCTTTGGTGTCAGGCTCCTCTTTCATCTGTCAGGGCTTGGTCAGAAAACATGGTCTGGATTAGTTTGAGCGTTTGGATGCCGTCCCTGAGACTTCTTGTAAAACAAAAGATTAATTTCCTGAAAGTCTAATGTGTGTACCTGCAGCTCATGGATTATGTATTGCTACCTCAGTAAACGGATCACAGGACGTTTTTGTAACGCTGCAATTAAAAAATAGCTTGAAAAGACTGTAGCTGAAACCCACTTCTTAGGCTCTGCACAGCTGTGAGAGTGGCAGGAGGGGTCGTTTGCCAGTGAGTCATCTCGCTTTGCCTCCACACTTGGCTGTTTCGAAGGTTTTTCGAAAGCTGTTTTAGCAGCCGCTTGCATTTTGCGATGCTGTTCGAAATATTCGCTCATCCCCCGCCATGAAAATGAGTAATTCTGGTTCGGTTTCGCCATCAAGTTGCAGCAGATTTTTACAGCCTGCGGAGGGAATCATAGTGGAGGGGATAACAGTGAGGTTTGGGGATCGCAGTTCTGCTCTTTCCCTCCCTGCGTGTTGGTGTACTCTTAATAAACTCTGTCAGCAGCTGCCTTTGCGGGGTATGGGTGTCCTTCCTACGCTGTCTTGGGCTCCCTCGTCGCTTTAAAACGGGAGATTTGGCTTTACGTACCTCCGCAGTGACAAATGGGCCTTTTTCTGCCCTGCTTGGATGGGTTTACTGTATTCATTAGCCCGGATCAGGCTTTTGTTACTTGATTTCTCCTGCCTCCAGGTTTCCAGTTTGTTATTACGGTCTGTAAAATTACAACAGCGAGCTCACGTTGTGTTTTCTGCAGACAGCAGGGAAACGAGGGAGATGGAAAGCCTGTAGTAAATTGCCGGAGACTCTCTCAGTTTTCCACACAACAGCATGAAAGGGCTGTGTTCACTTTCCAAATTAAACCAAATGCTCAGACTTTACTAGTAATTCCATTCATGCAGAACATACGGGGTCTGCTTTAACCTACTTTCCTTATTTGTCCAAAATATGACTCCTTCCCCACAAGCGTTTCCTCGCTGCATTCCTGAGCCGCAGCCCGTGAGAGTGGCCATCTGTTCGTTTATGGAAACCCGAGCCTCGACGTTGCCTAACGTTTCTCAGGGTCCAGCCTGATCCAGGCAACAGACGGGCAGCGAGAGGCGCGGTGCAGAGGCTCTGACCGCCAGCGAGCTGGGAAGCACCGTGGCTGTAGCTCTGTTTTCTTTCCTTCACGCCGGTGTCAGTACGGAGCGGTGCTGGGGAGCTCCGGGGCAGGGGCCGTGCGTTCCGTTCTGCTGCCGTGTCGCGTCTTTCAGCAGTTTGGGGCGTTGTGCTAGTAACTGCTTTGTTCTACCACATTAATGCAGTTTGGGAATATAGAGACCGAAACAATTTGCTGTGACGCTGCTGAGTCTGTGCTGCCTTTCCCCTTGCCGGCCTTTTTGTACATCTCCTGGGTCACAGCGGGTCCCCGCGTTGTGTTCGGGTGCCACAACCTTTACAGGGTCAAGTCTGGTTGGTTTTAGTCGGCTTCTGGAAGAAACAGCCCCACATGTATGTAACAGGGCCCTGAGAGAGCGGGCAAGAAAATAATTTGTCAGGGCTTGGGGAGTACAGGGAGAACAGGGCTGGTTGGTTTGGGAATGGGAAGGAGTCATTCCTCTGTTTCAGTTCATCATTTGTTACTGGGGAACTGTGAGGAGCAGGTGGGTTTTCTACCTTACTCCCACTAACTCTGTGCTTGAAACACGGGAGGAGCAGTAAATTCTCTGTGCTTTCTGCCCCCCTGCTCGCCAGCTCGGGCAAGGAACTGGAGTTAGCCTCTCTTGGCAGGAGCCTGCTCGGTACAGCAGTCCCAGGCTGGTGTCAAGGCCTTTTGCCACGTTTGCTTCTCCTGCACTGTGGTCTGCTTCTGTCCCTAGGCTGGATCCTGATCGACCGCTGTGGAAAACATTTTGGGACGATACTGAACTACCTGCGGGACGGGGCTGTGCCGCTCCCCGAGAGCCGCAGGGAGATCGAAGAGTTGTTGGCGGAAGCAAAGTACTACCTGGTGCAGGGGCTGGTGGACGAGTGCCAGGCAGCCTTGCAGGTAGGTCGCGGAGCTCAGGAGGGCTCGGGTTAGAAGAGGAGGCTGCTCTGGGTGGGAAAGAGCATCTGGGCAGAGCAAGATTTTTCTGCTGGTCTTCTCCACTTGGTGCGTTTTTTGAGGCTGGGATGAAATGGAAGTGTTTCGTGTCACTGATCTGCTGGAGCCTGGTCGCATCCAGAAAAACGTACCGACTTGTTCTCAACATGAGCAGTTGCTCGCTTCCCTCTGCTGACTCCGGGGAGTGTGTGAGGAGCAGGAGCCTGGCTCCTCGTGTCCTCTGCTCCTGTCAGGATCTCACCTGGTGAAATGATCCGTCATCAGCGCAAGCTCTGTGACAAAAGTTAATTGTTCCAGCATCAGCCAGAATGGGGCAGGTCCTTGGGCCACACCAGAGCAGCTTCCTGTGGCCACGGGCTGCTGCGAGCCTTTGTTTTCCTCTGCGGTGCTCACCTTAGGTTTGAAGCCACCGTTACTGGTGCCCTCGCTGAGGGAAGCCACGTTCCAGTCCCACGGTTTAAATTGGCCCGTGCCATCGAGTCCCTGTGTTTGCAGAGTCGTAGAGAGCAGAAAGGAGCACGGGCCAGCAGGGACCAAGAGCACGCTGAGCTCTTCAGCACGGGGCGTGCAGGCCCTGCCTGCTCAGAGGGTGCCCTAAGGCCTATTTCCATTCCACTGCTCTTTGATTCTTGTTTCAGCAGAACAAAGATGCGTATGAACCGTTCTGCAAGGTACCAGTCATCACGTCTTCCAAAGAGGAGCAAAAACTTATAGCCACTTCTAACAAGGTGAGAGAGGCCGGGCTGTGGGGTGGGAGGGTGCTGGCCTGGGGCCCTGGGCTTGCCTGGGACCTTGGCCCAATTATTCTGTAGAAAATGGTCTTTAGTTTTCATCAACGGGCTTACGCTTCAACTGTTGAGCTGCAAAGCCCTGAAAACCTCCAGCAGACTAAACGTTTCTTCTGAATTCCCAGTCAAATGTTGCTCAGGCTGGGCCTGGCTGTGTATTTCTCCATTTAAGGTATTAAACCAGCACGTAGGCAGCAGCATGACCGAGCAGATCCTCAGGGCTATTAGATCTTCTGTTTATGTCTCTGCTCTGGTTATTAACGACAGGTGCTTTCTTTAGCCAAGGTGAATCAGTGAATCTCCTGTTTCTGGAAGCCTGCTCGCCGTGGCGGGGAGAGGGGAGGATGCTGGTGACAACAATTAACCTTGGCAAAAAGGCAGAGGGCGGGGGAGGATAGAGGGTGGTCCGGTCACAGAAGGGGTCGGAAGGGATTGCAGCCCCGCTGCCAACCTGTCTGGGACAGTTTTGTAGCAACAACAACAAAATCCCACGAGGCTTGGGCCCGATGGTGTCGTGTCAGGTCGCAGGTTCTCTGCTGGGGGGTCTGCGCTGGGCTGGGCCTCCAGCTCTTACTGCTCTTCCTGTCCCTGACCTGTGGTTTGTGTTTTACAGCCAGCAGTGAAGCTGCTATATAACAGAAGCAACAACAAGTATTCCTACACCAGGTAAATGACTTCAGCTGGACTTCTTTGAAGGTTTTCATAGACTAAAATCCGTGATTAAGCATTTACTTTTTCTTCACTCAGAACCAATGACAGATTGGTGCTGGCGTGCGCTCGTTTTTTTCCCAATTAATTTCAAACCTGAGTCCAAAGGGAGCCTGCTGTCATCAGTGGCAGGCTAAGTGTGGGCTGGTTCTGTGCCAGAGGAGCTCCTCTAACGCTGAGGTGCAGCTGGCAGAGGCTCCTGCCCAGCTGCTGACCTGCCCTCCCCGAGGGCTGCGGCACATTGGCTGAATACCAGCAGCCTTCCGTGGCGTGCTGTTCTCAATAAGTGGTAAAATGATCAAGTCTGGGACCTTGTCCCCCTTTCCTTATGTCTGTAGGTGTTTCGTGACATAACGCTGTTCCCATCCTGCTGGTGCTGAGCTTGAGCTTAGGACTGGTTTTATTTGGGTGATAGAATTTTGTACACAAACAAAATGGTGCAGGGTCTGGAGCACAGGTCTGCTGGGGAGCGGCTGGGGGAACTGGGGGGGTTCAGTCTGGAGAAGAGGAGGCTGAGGGGAGACCTCCTGGCCCTCGGCAACTCCCTGCCAGGAGGGGGCAGAGAGGGGGGATGAGTCTCTGGGGCCAAGGCCCCAGCGCCAGGCCCCGAGGGAATGGCCTCAAGCTGCCCAGGGCAGGGTCAGGCTGGCTCTGAGGAAGGATTTCTGTGCAGAAGGGGCTGTTGGGCGTTGGAATGGGCTGCCCAGGGCAGGGGGGAGTCCCCGGGATCCCTGGAGGGGTTGAAGAGTTGGGCTGAGCCAGCGCTGAGGGATCTGGGGGAGTTGGGAACGGTCAGGGGGAGGGTCATGGTGGGGCTGGAGGAGCTGCAGGGGCTTTTCCAACCCAGATGATTCTGGGATTCTGTGAAGTGGCCTCGGACAGCGTTATTCCCTGTACTGCTGGTGTGTTACTGCTTCCTCAGCAGCAGGTTTTCCTGCTTGTACTAGTCAGAACGAGTTACCCACTGCAGCCCTGGATACCGGCTTGGTACCAAGACGCAGTAAGTCAGGAAACGGGCGTGTGGGCTGGGAACTGCTCCTGCCCGACCCCCCCTCCTGCCCTGTGCGTCGCCGTCCCGGCCTGACGGCTGCTGCCCTGGCCTGACCCTGCTCCTTCGCCTCCCGCAGCAACTCCGACGACAACATGCTGAAGAACATCGAGCTGTTCGACAAGCTGTCCCTGCGGTTTAACGGGAGGGTGCTCTTTATAAAAGATGTGATTGGAGATGAGATCTGCTGCTGGTCTTTTTACGGGCAGGGCCGGAAGATTGCCGAAGTCTGCTGCACTTCCATTGTTTATGCTACTGAGAAAAAACAGACAAAGGTACGAGTAAACCCCCAGTGCTTCCAGCAAGGGGCCCGGCTGCTCTCAGGCCGGCACCCTGACATCTGCTCCACTTTGAACACTCCTCTCATTGTTTAGCTTCTCTGTGGAGTAATCAACGGCCTTCAGAGGGGGAGCAGCGCAGTGGGGCTCATCCTGGGGGTCTGTCCTCCTGCAGGGCAGTTGGGATGTTCCGTATTGCAAGGCTAGTCCAGTTCTTTATCTTCAGACAAACACACATTTAACCAAGTTTGGTTTATGCCCCTGTGTACAGACACATCCTGGTGAGCAGTGACATCCCTTCCCTGGGCCTTTGTACTTTTCCCAGGAGAAATCTGTCTGAAGCTGCCCTGTGGGCTGGCCAGTTCTGAAAAAAAAAAACCAAAACACCAACCAACCCACCCTGGTTGCTGAGTGTCAAAAGCTGAAAGCAAATAATAGAATTGAAATGATTGTGCTAGGAGGGATTTCTGTGGTTAGGGTGCAATTCAGAAATTTTAAAACCAGAACGATATTGGGAGTTAAAAATGAGGTAACCCGGTGCCTGCGGTGACCAGCAGTGGGTGAGCGTGACCTTCTCTTTCCCGGGGGGGCAGGTGGAGTTCCCAGAGGCCCGCATTTACGAGGAGACACTGAACATTCTGCTCTACGAGTCCCAGGACGGGAGGGGCCCCGACAACGCGCTCTTGGAAGCCACGGGAGGGGCAGCCGGTCGCTCCCATCACTTGGAGGAGGACGAGGAGCGGGAGCGCATCGAGCGCGTGCGAAGGATTCACATCAAACGCCCGGATGACAGGGCCCACCTGCACCAGTGAGCCCAGGGCCAGCCCCAGACTGCGCAGCTCTGCCCGGAGGGGGCTGCCCTGCCTCTGACCCGTCCCCTGCAGCGGAGGACCAGGCGGTTTAACTTCTGTTCAGCAAAGTCTGTAAATTACGTTTTGTAACAAACTAGATTATTTGGGGTATTTAAATGCAGTAGTTCTAGGACAAGAATAAATAAGGTTGCTGGGCATGTGATAGACACTGTAAGGACCTATTGAGCATCGGGAGAAATGCCCTGAATTTTTAGCGCTCGTCTTCGCTATTTTGTGGCTAGAGAGGAAGAGGGCTGGCTTCCTTTGGATTTAGTAATTATTCTGCACTTTAAAAACAAAACAAGAACAAACAAAGGTCGGTCAGCCGTAGCTCTTCCCTCCGGGCACTCGTGGGCCCTGTCTCCTGGGCGTGGGGGCGAGGGGGCTGGTAGCTCAGGAGTGACTCCCCAAAGGACAAATGACACGTCTTGGCTCGATTCCTGCAGTGCCGGGGGGCAGAGGGAGCCCTGGAGCTGCTTGGGCTCAGCTGGTTGTGGCTCCCTCCAGCTCCTCGAGGGGTTCAGTGGAGCTTCTGTGGTCCTGGGTGTTGGAGACGCACCCAGTGCAGCTCGAGGCTGGAGGATGTTAAATTTCTCCAAAAGCAGGGTCGGGAGCAAATTGTATGGAATTGCTGTTCCTTAGGGTGGTGTTGGTACCGTTGTGTGCTTCTGCCCGACGCTGGGTCTCAGCTGGGGAGTTTATTTCCATGGGGTCAGTAAGTTGCACGTTCTCTACTACAGGTAGAGCGCTACTCGCTGCCGGTTCCACCGCGGCCCCGGGTCATTCTGTAACTGATCCAGGAGCATCGTCTTGCTCTGAGCGAGGGCAGCGCAAGTTACGCGCGGAGGAGGAGTAGACGGGGGCCCAGCAGCAGTTACTCCTTGTTCAGCTTCATCCTGAGCGTGTTCCAAGCCTTTTCAGAAATGGCAGCTGCGTGTGGAAGGGCAGAGCTGAAGCGTTGTGTAGAGGAGAGCTCCGCGGTTTAGTTTTCTACGCGTACTTTTCTATTATGAATATTTTATCTACCTCCTCGTCTCTTGTTGCCTATTGTGGAGTCAAGTAACAGTTGCAGTGGGAGATCGGGTGTTACTCGGTGGTAACGCCGAGCGCTGAGCCCCGGCTGTAACGGTTCATGTAACAAACCCTGACAGGGAGAGAAACCCCATGGAGCAAGTCTTAAACTCGCGCTCGGGCCGGCACCATGGCAGGGCCCAGAGGACTGTGGCCTAGTCTGGAGCTTTTTTTTGGCCCTTCATCTGGGCTGTGTAGCGCTGGCCTTGGGGCCAGGCCTCCCGTCCAGAGCAGCAGCTCCGTGTGCCTGTTCCTCAGCGAGGTGGGTGTTTGTTTTTGCCCAGCCGCCCGCTGCGAGGACTCCGACTCCTGCCTCAGGGCTGTTCACCTGAACAGTTTAAAAACCAAAGGTGTTGCCAACATCACCAGCTCCGTTGTTACTCCAACGCTTCTTTTTCGCGCAGCAGTTACACCCCAGACGATGTTTAGCTTGTCTGTAGACACTAAAATAAAGCATAAAGTGCTCAGTGGTACAATTGTGGATCATCAAGTAAAGCTGTAATGATTTCAAAGTTAGGCTGAGGTCATCTTTCTAGTAGCCAAAGACTTTTTTGAGTTACAGGCAGCTGCTGTGTGTGACAGATGGGGTGGTGGTACCCATCTCCTCTACTCTTTCTTCTTCAGCTACTAAGAGCTCAACAGTGAACCCTTACCCTGTAGTTCAGCAGCTTCAGCGACGTCCTGACGGTTCCGGGCTTGTAGTTTAAGCTGCCTTTCCACGCGCTCGCAACACGCTCCGGGTTTGTGAAGTCCAGAGTGCAGGTTGCTGCGGTGAAGGACCCGGCGCCTCTCCCTCCCCGTCCTTCCGTGCTAACCAGGGAGCAGCAGGAAAAGCCTCCGTGCGCTCCAGTCCTCTGGACTTTGACCTTTTCCGGGCACGTTTTGGGGCTGGTTGTGGCATTCTGAGCCCTCGGAGGGGTCTGTGCTGGGTCCGGGAGGTGATGGGGTGACAGCAACGAAGCCCCTGATGGCGCAGCGCTGGCATTAACTTCTCTGTAAATAGATTTGTAACTGGCTTCTGACGTTTCCTATTTCAGGTTTTGCAAATGTAGGTCTTAAAAAACCCCAGTGACTGGTTGTTTTGACTCTTTGTACAGCGGTTTGTAGAGCCATTGGTTTAGTGAGGCGCAGTGGGAGGGTTGGATGAGGTTTCAGTTTTGTTCCTGCGTTTAGGGGCAGACTCTGCCCTTACACACTGACTTAACCCTTGCCGTGCTGCTGTCCTGGGCCAACGTCCCTTCCCGGGGCTGGGAGAGGCTTCGGCAAGGCCCTTGCACAAACACTCCCAGCTCTGGGAACTGGTTTTGCCTCTCCTGGGTCCTGGGCAGCCCCGTGGGTGCCCTGGGACTAGCACCTGGTAACGGGGAGCGTGACTTTGACTCCCCAGCACCCCACAACTGACACTGACGGAGCTGACTGAGCGCTCAGTTGCAGGATTTGGTCCATCAGCACTACACAGAGAAGCTGGACTAAAATCCGCAGCGTGGAATGTGGTTTGGGGTCGGAGCCTTCACCCCCCCGCTTTGTCCGTGGAGCTGTAGCCCCAGAGCAGCTGCACCTGTATTTACACAGGGGGGATGTGGATCCCCCCCCCACCCTTGGGAAAGGCTCTGAGCTCCAAAGAGGGGGGGTAGAACCTTTCAGGCTTAAGGCAGTAGCAGCAAATTCCTCTGTTCTGTACAATCATTCCATCCCCCTTTGTACTTATGCACAAAAAAAAGCTTAAGCTGGATTTCTGTGTATGGTTGTTTGCAATATGTACTACCTTTTTTTTTTTTAAAAATATAACACAATAAATTAGAAGATATTTCATATTTACATGTGAGTCACTTTATTACTCGTTTGAAAGGTGCTGTCCCCTGGGTCCACGGAGCTGGAAGGAGCTTTCAGGAAGAAATATCAGACGTCAGCCTCAATTTGATCTCCGGCTCTCAGGGCCCTGCAAAGCCCCAGATTTCAGGGCAGCAAGTTGAGACTCCACAGGCTGGAGGTTCAGCCTAACCCGAGCTGGAGCTCCCCAGGCCTGCCTCACGGTGAGGGGCTGTGCAGGTGCAGCTTCCCAGGGCTGGAGGTGAAGGTTTTTCCAAGCCAGCCCTTCCCTCATTTATGGTTTTGCTTCCACTGCACTGTGTGCAGGGAAAACCAGGACAGCGTTATGCTAAAAGCAAAGATCTTTCCCCCTGACAGAATCAACGAGCAGCTTTCTGTGTCACAAGAGCCCCAGCCCTACTGCACATTTAGCCATCCCTCCCCTTGCCGAAGGATGAGCTTTGCCCGTCTGCCTGAGAGAAAAGGTGTTTTCAGGCCTGGTCTGTGCTTGAGGCAGTTCTGGGGAGCTGTGACTCAAGGTACAGCTGGAGAAACCATTTTTTGGGTCTATCTTAATCCTTCCTGACTGGTCAGAGCTCCCGGCTTTACCGAGCACACGGAGACAGACATTTTAGGTGTGGAACTGCAACTTTGGGTTTAAACATTTCCCTGTGACAGTGTAATGAGCATCTGTGCTCACTGGAATGTTACAGCATCATAATGGAATTTATTTAGCTATAGTCGAATAGTTTTAAACTATTAAAAAAAAAGAGCCTAAAAGATGCAAGCAAACTCTCAAATCACAGCAGCCCTATGGCATCAAAGATTCCAGGGGAGATGTGAGTGCTGGTCTCATCCTGCAGGCTCCTTTCTATTCCAGGCCCAGACGGGGACCAGGAACAGGAACTGTTTCTCATCAAGACTTTGCCTGGGTTGACACCTGGGATGAGAAAAGGAATTGTTAAACCGAGTCCAAGCGATAGTCCTGGAGGGGTCCTGGCTGTGGGAAGGGGTTGGGTCGTTTCTGCCGAACAGTTGGTTCGAAGCAGCGAAGCCCCCCCCATTATCTTCCCTCATTCCTCCCTCCTTTTGCCGGGCTGACAGAACTGCTTTCCCTCCACTCCCCAACCGATTTCAGAAATAACTTGGCTGAGGGAAGCAACAGGAGGTGATGAACTTCACCACCCCAGCCCTCATTTCACAGCTGCAGGTTGGACTCGGGCTCAGGCTGAGTGACTGCCAGGAGAGGGCCTTGCTCCCTCTCCCCCCCACGAGCTTGAGAGCAGCAAGAATCCCCAGGCAGGGCACGCAGCTGCGGCCCCCACCACAGCACTGGTCAGCGCTGGGCGTTCTCTTACAGAGGTGGGTACCGACGGGGCAGTTACGTCGTGCACCCCTCTGCTCCCTAAGAGCAATCGAGTCCTGAGCTCACACAAAAGGCCCTTGCAAGAGGCTGTTGCTCTCTGCAGGGGTTAAGCAAAAGGAGAAAGCACGAGTCATATCCCCGGCGCTCGGATGAGGCCTTACCACCGTTAATTGTCCATTTTTGGCTTTGAAGACCTGAGGCTCCTGCCCGACGGTGAACACCATCGTCCCTTCCTTCCCAGAGCCAATGCGAAACTGAAGGCTGCAAACACACGATTACTCGTTAGGTGCTCGCCTCGCAAGAGGCTTTGCTCTAAGCCCCCTTTATTTCTGTTCCCTTGGCAAATCTCGTTAGTTTAGAAGATCAGAGCCCTCCAGCTTAGGTAAATTTCCTTCACAATTGCATTATACCACACAACCCAGAAGGGTTTGATGAATAGAGCATGCCTGCCCGGTCCAGGCATCTGAATTTTCCTGGTGCAATTAAGCACTGGAAGATAAGCAGATCTGACCTGGAGAAAACCACTGAACACACAGAATCTAATTACAATTGAAATGCAAAGGCCAGAGAGAAAAGCTGGGGCAGAAGTACGGGTTTCATGTGCCACTTCCAATTCACGTAGAGATTTGAGAGACAGACTGCATCCACCTGCCATTAGCTCGGTGGCGTGACCGAGGCGGTTCTTGCGCTCAGCAATCACATTTCAGGGCCTCTCAGGCTTTTAGGGAGAGGAGCCTTTATCCCAAAGTGACCCGCAGGCTCAGCCCAGCAGGTTTCCTCAGAGCTGGCGCTAATGAGATCCGTTGTGAAACCACTAAACCCACCACCTCACACCCAGGTCGCATCAAGCCTGAAAAAAAAAAAAAAAAGGGGGTTTTAAGGTGGTTTTACAGCACAAGTCCCCTATAAACAAGTTTTTGGGCAGATGGGTGATGGGCAGCTCTTGGAGCAGAGCGGCATGTTTGCAAGGTGCAAGCCCAAGCACTGTGGAAGTTTCGGTAGCGTGGGGAAGAGGGTGTCATGATTTTTATTGTATTTTCTTGTTCCAGTGGAGCCCCATCTTGTGAAGGAAGCCATGAAAACCACCGTGCTACTGCAGCAGACCTCGTCACCTCAGGGCACCGTCTGCTGGGGTGATGTTAATAGTTTTGATCTAAGCTGGCCAGGCCTAGAAGTTCTTCCATAAAATAAAGCCTGCACAAGAGTACCCATCCAGCTTCCTGCCTTACCTTCCCTGCACAACTTTCACGAGGCTTTGCTTATTGGCCAGCATGCAGAGTTTAGTGACCGTCTCGAAGACATGCTCACACTGAAGGATTGCATCTCCCTGAAACAAAGAAACAAACAAAGAAAGAAAAAGGCATAAAATCTGGCACTGCCCCAGCAGGTAAGCGGTCGTGCATACAGAGAAACAACTTTCTAATGCCCGAGTAGTGATGGCTGTGCAGAAGCAACACAGCAATTACTACAGTCACATACAGGTCTGGTCCCCTTCCGGGGACTATTTATGATTTAGAACAACTGTGGTTCTAAAAAAAAAAAAAAAAAAAAAAAAAAAAAAAAACTGATGACAGAATTATTAACCATCAGTAATTGTGTAATCCCAGTATTTCATAGGAAGATACTAGAAGCGTCAGCTACAAGCCCTTGCTTCTAACCACAAGCCCCCAGTAGCTACATCACAGTTTTCTACCTTCTGTTTGTTGTCCTCGGGAACATGAATGACTACAATCCCATCGCTCAGGTTACTGGTGGAAATACCTTCGAAAGAAATCCAAAAATTAGAGAAAAAAAAACTACCAGAGAGAGTCCCACAGCACCACCATCACCCTCCCAGCACCAGGGTGCTGTTCCTGCGGGGGCAGCGACTCCAGCCCAGGTTACAGGAGGGAGTCTGGTTCAGGGTGGGGGCCTCTGGACTGTACCCAGTGGGAGAAAGCACAGCCCCCCACTTAGGGCAAAATGCAAAGCAGCGACTGTTTTGAAGAATTAACCCTGCTGAAGATCACCGTGGCTGTCATCCACGTGTCCATAACACATTCCCAACACGGGTTATTTAATCACAGCGTGTTAGTTCTTTGCTCCATACCTGTCCATGATACCTTTCTTTTAGTAAGGGAGGGAGGAGAAAGTATATATTCTACCCCTGGAGTTCAGACAATGGCAGGATTAAGTTACCTACAAAATAGTAGGAAAGTTTTGTTTTGTTTTCCTCTCTCCCCTCTCTGTCAGCAGAAAGCGACGTTCTCCTGCATTTAAGCATTTCAAAGAACTGCATCCTCTTACTCAGAATTTGTACTTCAGGGAACTGCACGCTGACACACAGACCCTCTATCCATCCCCCCAGGAAAAAGTGTTCTCAAGTGAATCATTGCTTCAAATATCTCTGACAGACCAAGTTCATCTTTCCCCCCCAGCCAGGGTCTCTGGCAGGAAGGGGAGTCCCCCAGCTCCACCGTTACCTTTCAGGGTGGCGTAGTCTATTTTCTGCTTGATCTTGGCCATTTCCACCACATAGGCCGAGGACTGGGTCAGAACAAGTAGCCGGTCTCGCGGTTTGAACCCGTTCCTGTCATATTTTATCACGGGGGTCACATACTGAAAACAACGAGGTGGTATCAGCGTCTCTCCCTGCCACGGGGCCCTGCTCTGGGAGCAGCGCCCCGCAGACCCCAGCGCCCCGCAGACCCCAGCGCCCCGCAGACCCCAGCGCCCCGCAGACCCCAGCGCCCCGCAG